ATATTGGCTGGAAGGTTTGTCACGACTGGAAGGTTTGGCGCGACTGTTTGTCGGCAACCGGATAAAGTGTGGGGCTGCGTACTTTGCAGTCTCAACTTCCGGCACTGGGCTTCGAAGCGGGTGCGGCTGCTTCGGATGACCGCGGGACCCCAAGCGCTGGGAGGTTGCTTCGCGATAGGGTGTCACAGTTGGAAACATATTTGGGCATCAAGGAGGCGCAGAAGGAGCGTGAGTTGATGCAGCTGCATCTGCGCTTGCAGGGCACGGAGTTGAAGAAGGCGCAGGTAAATCAACATCTGCGATCTGCAGGCACGGTTGGCGGTAGAGGAAGGTGTGAGCGGCGAAATTCTGGCTCTGCTCCAATATGCCTATGCCAAAGCCGCTGCCACGGAGGTGGATGCGCGGTCCGAGGTGGCGGCGGCTCGTGCCGAACGTGCGCATGGCGGCCAGGTGGCAACTTCGTGCATACCTTCTTCCAGTGGAGATCTTTCAGCGTCGACCAGCGGTGCGCCTGGGGGTGGAGCGCTGCATTTTGTCCCCCCAAAAGACATTTACATCAGCTGGAAAAGTGGGGTTAGATAAGGCTGAAGCTAAAATGACGCGCTCTACTGCAAAGGAGGCCCTTAGCGCAGTCAAGGCAGCAAAGGGTGAGTTGCATCTTATTGTTGTTCATTGGCCAATGGCCATCTTGTTGGTGTTGCGCAACAGCAGCCTCCAATTCACATCTCTGAATGTGAGCGTTCCAGAAATAAATGCGCACATTATATTCGCACTGGTTTTCAGTTTAAGCTATTTGAAATCTAAGAAGGCCCATGTCTTTGATTTTGAAGTAATTTTCAAGTTTCCGCAACCACGGGAGGCCAATGGCACAGCGCTTTGTGATATCGCGACCATCCAGAGATTTCTGAGATCTCGACATTCCAAACATCATGTATGTAATAGCGTTCAACGCCAATATGCAGCAGTTCACAAGAATAATGACTTTGGAAGAGATGAGGCTCAATCACGGACGCGGTTCGGACGGCTTCTGAAAAGCGCCCTATGTCGTGGCGCTGAACTTTGTTGTGGCACGATTCAGGAGGACCACCAGCACGGCCATCGCCACAGCCATCTGCACGGCCATCGGCACCGCCATCGGAAGGGAACCACCGCTGCTGCCGGAAAGGAAAACAGCACCGGCCAGCAGGACACGATGCGCGGTGGTTTGCAAGCCAGCCGTAAGCACTCAGCCGTATTTTAGAAAGGGGCCACATCCTGCATGGCGCAGAGTCCATATTGCGTTGTGCATCCTCGATTTCGAATGGACATGGGAAAGATACGTGTATTCAATGTATGGGATTCTCATGATGGGGGTATGATAACGTTACAATCGACCAATCATTTTGAATCACAATCGCCATGAAGGGTGTTGTTTATCAAGGCGAGGAGATTGGCGTCAACTCTTTATTTCACCATATGGAAGCGCTTACCATGAATTTTTCAATGATATATTTAGACACTGCTGCTATCCAACGAATCACTTAAGTTTTAAATGGAAAGACTCAAATTCACAATGCTCATTATCACCAAACCGTTTCAAATCTTTGTATGCAATATTTAGGCGGAGCAACTCATAAATTGTCAAAAAATCTAAGAGAATCAATCATTTCAATGTCATTTTTAAAAGGCAATAGTATTGAAAATCTTGTTATCAAGATCAGAAGCGTAAGCAACGCCCTCCAGCCCTGGGAAGCCTCCGAGTCGTGGTCCCACATGGGAGTATATAATAACAGCCGAAATGAACATGAATGCAGTCGTCCCCATCAACATACAATTACCTGTGGCCCTATCCAGGGAACATCCTACGCACGGTTTATTATTTTATTACATGCAAGGGTATGGTCATATCCTAGAGACGCAAAATTTACGATATCCCTTAGAAATACAATGCTCTTTCAAGAACAACAAATTGTTGTTCAATCGGCGACGCAAGCCATTGCTCATGATGATCACACACATCCCAACCTGGCCCGCAGGTCATTGAAATGTTTCAACTGTGCGGAAAGTGCGGAAAGATCTCATCCCGGACGTGTGTCAGACGGGGAAGAGGTTGTACATCGCTGGCCACAGTGTGTTCACCTTGCAAGACCAGCGCCAACTCATCCGAGAGATGATGGTCAAGAGCAGCCACCTGGACAAGGTGGCCAAGGAGGTGGTGCTCCTGGCGCCCATGGTCGAAGACATCGCCATGCACATGTCGAAATTCAGGGCCGAAGACATGGGACGCCTGCTGCGTTTTCTACAAGAGGTTGACAACAACCTGAACGTGCTGACGGACGAGGCCATGGTGCTTTGGCACTTTGAGTGGCCCGTACAGAAGCACGACGCCCTCTGGGAGGCTGCCAGGATGCACAGGGAACTCGCCTAAAAGAGGAGCACCTTGTTGAGCTGGCGGCACGGCGGTCCAAGGGGGAAGGACGCACGCCAGAGCATCCAAAACTACATTGTGAGTGTCGCCGCCCACCAGCAAAAACTGAAGTTTGTGCGTTGCCAAATGTGGTGTCATTTGACACCAATTGATGCCATGTTACCTACATTTTGCCATCAAAATCGCTGTGGTGGAGTCACATTACGTCGAAATGGCATGGTGCTTTGCATGTACAACCTCATGACGTTTAGCGATGCGACCACGACCTTTTTGAATAGGTCAGCGTCCCAGAGCACGTTGTGTTGTTGGAATCGCATCTAGGAGGACTCTTCCTAGATGCGATTCCAGTAGCACAACGCTCTCTGGGGTGCTGACTTATTCGACAAGGTCATGGACGCATCGCTAAATGTCATGCGGTTGTACATCAAAATTCCCTTGGAGGAAGTTGATGAGGCACTGGCCTTAAATCAGCTTGAAGCCAGAAGAATGCGCCTCACGAATATGTGTTGACGGGTGCGCAATTGCAAAAATCAAAGTTTAACTAAGTACCCTCCTTTTGTGCCTATCCCTCATTATTCCAACACAATTTATTTTGTAGCCAAGACGCTCATGGCAAGGGGATCCCCATGAATGAAGATGGTGATGATGGCAATGGGATCCCCTTGAGACAATCTGAATTTCTCACTGCGCTCAATTGTGTTTGTCCTGCAGCGGTGATAAAACTCGCCTTCAAGGCTCATCAAGACAGATCCTCAACAGACTTACCAACCACGTGGATTTGATGAGATCTGCTCCCGCCTATTTGACAGAGTCCGCCAGCTCTACTGGAGATTGCTGACCATCAGCGAGGCTTGAGAGAGCAGTGGTGGTGAAAGTTCAGGTGCTCGTAGCTAAAGGGAGCGCCGGCAGAGGCAGTGGCTTCATTGTGATGTTTCATGGTGCCATGTGTAGTGCGCTGGAAAGAACTCGCCGAACAAGTTGTCTGCGTTTCAGCCACACGCAAATAGCTACGTGGACAGTTGCTCGATGTTCCCGCTAACGCGGGATGCTCCTTTTTCCACAAAAAGGCATTTTCCTTCACCCGTCGTCAAATGTGGCCCTCAAGCGCCTGCAACACAGCGTCCACATCGCCCCTGAGGTCACGCCAGTGGGATCCCTGCTGCTAGCCATCTATTCGCCACTGGAATGGCGACCCCATCCGGTTATCATTGCCTCAATTGCTGCATCCAGCGCGTGCTAAATTGTGCACTGCCAAACTCTGCAAGCAGTCTGGACACCCTCGTGGCCATTGCAGCCACGCTTGCTATTCGCATGACCAGGTGCAGCTGTCATTCATGTCATGTCCCCCTGTTTGCCAGTGACAGACACGCATTCCAGTGGTGCCTTTGCCCAGGCGTCAGCTTCCCAACAAGGCCTTGGCCCATGCGCGCTCACAGAAAACCTGACTGTTTGCACGCCTGCACTGATGCATACGCCGTTCCGGGCATGGCGCATGTGCAAATCGCATATCAGTATCGCGCTTCAACCCAATTGTTGTTGGCGTTCGCCAGATGATCGTTTGCTCTTGTTTTTCTCTCTGTTAGGCTGTGAAAAGCAAATTTCTCATCGGTTTCTCAGGACCTTGCGTGATGTGGTCTGCTCAATAAGGCAGCCACGGTCGTGGGCTTGCTTGTTCGATGATGGTGCGCGGGTGGTCATGTAAACCGAACTGGTGGCTTTACCGCATTTCTTTGCGGTGACATAATGTAATCTGCGAAATTTGCTGGCCGACTTGGATTTAAAGCTGAGGGAATGTTCCCTGGTCCCCAGTCCGTGAGTGCTCAGCGCAATGAAACCAAAAGCTTTGGTGTTAATGGATTTGTTGCCGTGTGCATGACATAAAGGCAGGTAGAGATGCAAATTCTAGAAGCCAGCATGCAATCTGCAAATTATGATTTCACCTAGAGATATGCGAATTCGCTGACTACCTGTGAGAGTTAGGCTTCATGCACACATGGAGCTTGAGAGAGGATGCTACGGCGGCCCACTTGGCACAAAAGCGTCTCCGCTCAGCATGACTATTCGAGCATCGGTTCTTGAACAAGACGTTCAAAATGCCATTCAATATATTTCAATAACTCTGCTGTCTCCATCCATCATGCTCTGTGCCCGTGCAAATGCTCCCATCATTAGCTATAGATTGTGGATTGTCAATAACGCTACCCCCTCCGCCATCAACCAATCTCAGCCTCCAAATCATGACAGCAATGCATCCAACCTCTTCTTGGCACAAAACTGACCACCCGCCGCCCCGCACACCACATCCAACGGCGTGGCCGCGTCGTCGCGCTCCGCCCTCTTGTTCGCCCCGACCGACACCAACAGTTCAGCCACCTCCAGGCTTCCAAACGCCGCTGCCACGTGCAGCGGCGTCTCTCCGTCGTCGTTCCTCGCATCCGCATCTGCGTCGGCCCCTATCAGCAGCTCCGCGATCGCCACCTGTTGAAATACCAGCATAATGAAGCATTTAAACTTCACCTCCGAAACATATGCAACGAAAATGGAGCATAATCGCAGCGTAAATGGAATCTACCACGACTGGTCATGCTATACTTCAGCGCACCCCATTAAACTGCGCCGAAACGTGCAGCGGGGTCGCCCCCGTCACATTCCCGACATTCACGTCCGCATCCGCCGCGATCAGCACGTCCGCCACCTCCACGTTGCCGTCCAAGGCGGCCAGGTGCAGCGCTGTGTATCCGTCATCCTGCTTGCTGTCCACGTCAGCGCCGGCCTCAATGAGCACCTCGGCCGACCGGGCGGCGTTGAATATCGCTGCGTCGCCAAGGGCCGTGTCCCCGTCGGAATCCCTGGCGCTGATGTTTGCGCCCGCCTCGATCAAGGCCAGCACGATTTCGTGGCTGTCCGTCTCTGTGGCCTGGTGGAGGGGCCTGTCGCCAAACTGGTCGCAGCAGGCGTCGGGGTCCGCCCCCGCCGCGAGGAGAACCCGGGCTGTCGCCAGGCTGCCCCTCTTCGCCGCCACGCCCAGGGGCGTTTCGCCGAAGTCTTCGGTCACGCTCACGTCGGCTCCGGCGTCTACCAGGATCTGCGTCAGGCGACAGTCCGTTTAATTACCACTGCAATGATGTTTCAAAGGCACACAGGCACACAGGCGCACAGGTGCATAGGCGCATAGGCGTATAGGCGTATAGGCGTATAGGCCTATAGGCGTACAGGTGTATAGGGGATAGACGTATTATAGGCCTATAGGCATATGCAGCGATGCAGCCCAAAAAAAACACTTCCTAATTTCTCAGGTTTTAGGTGTCACACCCTAAGAAACTTGCAAGACAGCGTAATTCAGCATATTCTCTGTCTTATTGTATAATTCAGCGAATTACGACAATAGCAAACGGCGAAAACTGTTTTCGTTTCGCAAATCTTCAAGCCCAATATCCCTTCAGAACACAGAAACAAAAAGAGTGGACAATTGCGCGCTTTTCACCTGCGCAACGCGAGAGGCGTTGAAGTAGGCAGCGTCAGACAGGGGCGTGTCCCCGTCATCGTCCCTCGCTTCGATTTCGGCGCCGGCGGCGATGAGTGCCGACGCGACAATGGCGTTGTCACTTTGGGCGGTCTGATGCAGCGGCGTGTCGCCGTCGCTGTCACAGCACCAGACGGGATTGGCTCCTTTAGAGAGGAGGTCGTCGACAAGGGCCTTTGTGGATGCGTTCTCCGGGCCGGACGCCATTTCGTACAGAATCTGCACGGGGCACAAGTGATGAACACCGTCATGGCGTATCGAAGCCAGCTGCGGTGGTGTGTACTGCACACTACACACTACACACTACACACTACACACTACACACTACACACTACACACTACACACTACACACTACACACTACACACTACGCACTACACACTACACACTACACACTACACACTGCACACTACACACTGTGTAGTGCGATGAAAAGACAAGATGTGGCGCAAACACCTGGTGATATTGAAGAATCGAGTAAAAAAGCAACAGAAAAGAACAGGCAGAGAAACGAGCTCGTAGTTCTACGCCTGTTCCCTTCAATACACGGCGGTTCATTACTGGCCTTGCGCGAGCACTGCAAATGCGTGCATTAGAGGACTCGTGGAAGATATCGATCGGCAAGAAGAAATTCGGCGTGCCTACAGTACGTGTAATTTCTCCATGCCCGAGCACAATGATTGTGGGACATGCTCAGTGCATTGCAGAAACGATGCACTGTGTCGTCATCTACATTCGTCAAAGTCGTTGCACTCGAGGCTCAAAATGAACACCGAGAGTCGGAGATTTTGGAAAGGGAGAAATAAACGTTCCGGCGAAGCGACCATGGCACATGGTACACCGAGCGCAAAGGAGGCTGATTCATTGCATCTGCGCTTAGACGCACCTGAAGAACAATATACAGTCAACGAATAAATCATACTTCGTTCGACATCATTAGAGTTCTGTAGCTTGATGTCTGGGACAGACATTTTGAAAGACCTTTCAGACTGACGCGCTCCGGAGCACTCGGTTTAGGATCCCAAACCGAGTCGCCAGTACCCACGCCCTATTCGAGGAGCAACCAATGACGATGCGGCATTTCTCTGGACGAAAATCTGACTAACAGAGTTTCTGATGCACAAGCTTGGCAGCCATCACCGCAATTCGTTCTCCTGACAGCACAGCCATCAGCGGCCGACCCTACCTCGTCAAGCTCCTCTTGTTGTTGTTCCTGATCGACGCTGCCCTGCAGCGGCCATATCCACGCCAGTTCAACACATCAATCGGGTATGGCAAAAAGATAATGCAGCACCAGGAGCTTCGGCATGCACCCGTGAAATGAGCGGGCACTCAATTTCACCGTCGCCGGAAGCTCTACTTGCGAGCAGCAGAGACAAGGCCACCATACCACCGTTTCTACGACTGGGAAGGCACCCACACCATTTCATACCGCATGTCACAAAGCCCAGTGATATGATGTGAAACTACGCGATGGCCATCGCGCACAGTCATGTGTCTCAAAGCTGCAAAACATCCCTTGCGACAGCCAACATCTCCTAGGAAACAGCCACCATGGAATAATCAAATCGACAACAAAAGGCAGGCACAGAGAGACAACAATCGGCAGGCTACAGAACGTCCTGAGATGGCATCCTGAGCGCCTCCTTGCCACTCCGTATTCACATGCCTCTTCCCAATTGCAAGTATTGCAAAATGTCCCTCAGTTCCTGTTGGTGGCAACAGTTGGCTTAGTTGCCAACAGAATGATGCACGTATCTCGGCTCACACCCTCACCTCCATGTTCGCAATTATCCAGTCTCGAAAACTCACAGCACTGATGAAGACAGACGGAAGGGTGGTCCTGCTGCACTTCTTGTCAGCTTCCCCAAACGATTTGATGCCAACGACGACGTCAATGTCAGGTTGGCCGGTTGTCAAATTGCCGCCAGGGGCAAAAGGGTGCATCAAGGGGCTGCCATCGTCACCTGATCCACACACAGCACAGCCGGGTTCCCGTTTGTGGGTAAGATTTGGTAACCTTAGCCACAGAAAGAACGCAAAGCTCATCCCGCCTTTGGAATTCCATGTAAGCTGAGTAACCAACGAGGAACAGCAACGAGAACAACCACAAAACACGAAACGACACTTGACAATGCCACGAGGTGCCATCTGCGGAAGGCAAGCGCGGACACCTAACGAGTGGAACACTGTTGGGTGCTGGCCTGTTCTAAGTCGGCAGATTCTGCATCAGTGTTCTCAGCATGGGGTGACACCAACACCCCTGTATAGGGCGACTAGTTATCCGTCACAAACCACACAACATTCCTTCTCTTTGTGCAGATGTTTAGCGCACATGTAGTTCCCCAATGCAACACAGCACTGATATCGATGTTGCAACGATGCCATGCACATTGGCATCAGTCATTGGTCATTGCTGCTGGAAAATGCTCTGCACCTGTGGCACGTGCACAGACTTCGCACCATTGTCTGGTGGCGGCTCGGCAAGACTGCTCCATTTGTTCACACAAAACACAAACACAATCGACAATTTATCTACCACAATGAAACGCTGCACAAAGGCTTACCGTATACCCACCTTTGCAGGTGTCCTGACTTTGAAAACTAATTGCACATATCATGGAGTCTTGCACAACATCGCCCCAGACACCTTCATTTTGGCAGGCACCAATGGGTGTAACTTCGATGCCCTCAGCCACCTGGAGGTCCCCCGCATGGGGTCCTTCTTTCTGAAGCCCCCAGCCAAGTGCTACAAGGGCGTCCCCATCAGTAAGTTTGAAGACTCCCTGGGGAAGTGAGGCTGGCTCATGTCTGGAGGGATTCCTCAAGTGCAACAGTGCAAGGTCGTTACCATTGGCAGGGTCACCCGTCCAGTTTCCATGCAGGATGGTCTCCTTGGGAGTGTAGATCTGGCATAGACAGACAATCCACCTTCTCAGATTCCACCATGACTGAACTGTGGGATGGCCAAAACGCTTTCTGCTCTCATTAACCCGAAAAGAATCAAACTTCACCCGAAAAGGGCGGTGCTACCTAACAATTGTGGTAACGATAATGTCTACCACCGTGGGTACAATGCCATCTGCCCAGTCAATGCCAAAAATAGCATACTCCTGGACAATCATCAGTTCCCTCGTGGACCGGCAGACAAACTGATTAAAGGTTTTCCATTACTGTATGTTGCACTGTTTGTCAAGGCGAACCAATTATCTGCAGGGTCATGCGAATGTCCGATTTACACCTGTGCAAGTCATCATCGTGGACTCATCTTCATCGTCATAATGCGCAAACGGGCAAGGGAAATATTCCCACACTGTGCTCTGCTAAAAGCAAACCGTTGTGCCAGAAAGGCAGTGAACATGCCAATCTGTTGCTTGAACTAATCTGTTTGCACCAAGGGGCCAAATGAAGGACTGCACAACAATTGCAGGTTTCAGCACCGCGGCAAAAGCAGCAGGGAAAGCTGCACAGTCTGTTCACCAGCCAGAAGTTCCTGCTTTCATCTGGATTGGAGCCCAAACTTTGAAGATCGTTGAAACTACTGATCTGCATCTTATGCGCAAGATACAAGCCAGTTGCCTCACCTCCAACTTCCCATTTGCATTTTTCTTCATGTCCCGGAGGTTGCACGCCCCAATCACAAGAACAGGTGCTGGCCCAGCAGACTCTGGCAAATCTGGGTCTACACAGTGGGCAGCCGTGAGGACCCACTGTGGCTCCACCAGCACCCCTCCACACTTATGCTCATCTGCGCGATCGCGAATGGACACCATGTATCCGAACCTCCCACAAGGTGCCTCTGTTACCTGAATGCATACAACAAGGGCAAATGATTACCGGTGTTGCAAGTTCTTTGCTCGAAGGGGTAGAATGGACTGGTGCACCACACAATTGTCTCAAGCTCACCAGCAGCCAGTATGCTGCATGCAACTTGTTACAATTTCTCCCTGAACTCTGACACTAAAACACAAGCGACGCCAGGATCGTTGGTGTTGCACGTGGTTGATAGGAAAGTCTTCAGGAGCAGGCAAAGGCAGGAAGGAACTGGCACCGTGGAGTACATGCCCACATCGGACCCACCATAATTTTGTCATCCTTGGTGCTATTCTGGCGCAAATGTCTGAGGTCAGTGTGCGTGTGGGGGCGTCCACCTGCCAAACAAAGAAGCGGCCCGATGTCAATCAGCAGGGCATCACCAAATGATCTGCACAACACGTGCGCTGGCAGCCTGCACTGTGAGGAAGCTACTGCAAAGGAGGGAAAAGCCTCACCGCTCAAACATATGCGGTGATTGGAAAGCACGCCACTTGGCAATTGACTGTTGCAGTTCGTCATGCTTGGGGCACATGTGGTCGAATGAATTAATCAATGCAAGCATTCCAGGGTAGATAGAACTGCATGTGGGTGCCGAAGAGATCGAATTAATGAATGAATCAATAGCTTGCATGTTGCAGAAGAGGTCTTTCTTCCATGTTTTCAGGATTTGATGCGACCACTGGAGCGTCTGTCAACAATCAGCATGTTGCCAGACTAGCGAACTGAATGTATTCATCATGGCATTGTGAAAACTGAGACACTGGTTCTGACACTTATCCGTACTGATTTCATATCGCAAGACTGGAACACTACAGTTGCTTAATGGGAACTACAAGACTAAGGACATTCTGATTGCCCTGATTGTCACAAAGCATGACATAGTCGACAATTACAAGACCATTCACCATCATTCATGTTCCATCATGACCCCCCGACACAACACTTCTGCGCTGTACGTCTGTGCAATGGCTCAATGAGCTTGTGGTCATTGTTGGGCATACTGGCAGCTTTGGAGGGCTGGCTTCATTGGCGCTTTTTTCTTTTTCTTTTCTTCCTCAGGGAACTACTACTGGAATTTTCTTGAAGGCAACGCAACGCCATCTTCTGATGACAATGATACCCCACTACATCGCTCTTACACAAGGGCGCAGTAAGTGCCAGGCATTGGGGCTTCGCAGCAGGGACCGCGTATGAGCGCGTTTTGAACGCAGATTCTCAGCAACATATATGGGCGCCCCATATCGGGACTCTCTTCGGGCCAGCATCCGCCAGACCAGGTCCTCACAGTCACAACAGGCTCTACGGCACTGAAAGAAAAACGCCCTTGTCGGGCGACCACCGGCGAAATGTTTGGAGGCGGCCTTCTGGTCGCGGTAGAAAGAGGCGGACTCCATTGTGCTACATGACTACGCATGCAGAAAAACAGCTCGCGGTCACCCCATTTGCCTACCCGCACGGGCCGCTCCCGATTTCCAATCAGCGCGGCATAACAGCTTTGAAGCCTGCCACAGCCTCACCACTGACACCCTCCGCAGGCCAAGGGCCAACGACTCCCCGCGCCCTTCTTCGTACCACGGAAACCATGCGCACCATCACGCGCCGTTCTCGAGCCACCCATCACCATCAGGGCATCCCCTACTCCGCGCATGAACCAGCCCCCGGGCCTCACCTTGGTCGTCAGCGCTCACCAGCGCCAAGCCCATACACATCCATGTCAATGCGGCCCACCGCGGCAACAAGGCACCATAGCGTTGTCCCATACGATGCCAGGCCCTGATGGCCTTTGTCGCGCCCGGCAGGCAGCCCCTTCCGCTTGGAGGCGACCGAATCTGGCGTCCGGGACGCGAACGACGGCTGCGAGTGGAGCCTTCCCGCGAACGGTGGCCGCGGCCAGGCCCTTGGCGCGAGGTGGGTGCAGGGGGGTGGGCTGGATCAGCCGCGCCATGTACGAACATCGTACCGCCTCTGCTCCACTCAAGGGGGTTTGTGGCTGGAGAGGTGCGCTTCAGGGTGTGAGTACGAGGTATTACGAATGCGCAGGTGGTTACCGTAGGTTTTTAAAACCCTTCCGCATCCCGAAAATTTGCCTTTACGCCTTTTGCTCCGTATTTTGTTTTTCACAGTGTTACTCTTAAAATTTCACGCCGCTCCGCAAATCTTCATTAAAAGAGCGTTATTTATTTACTTTTTTCTCCCCCCAAACAGGCCAAGCGTTACGTTGCTATGTGGATGGGTTTAAAGGCGGTACTGAGCTGGTTCTGTCAGAAGACATTTTCTTAGACTGTTCGTACCACCTACTAACCACAGTATTGTTGGACGAATTCACTCTTAGGTATGACTAATCTACAATAATCATATTGTTATGATATATATTATATGATACACTTTTTTAAAATGGCCCCTGATCAACAGGGCCCGACACTCGGGCGATTTTGGCACTGTCGGCGCCAAACCTTATGTCGATGTTGCGCGACCGGCCAGCTCTGCCTAGTCACGCGAAGCAGCTCTGCAGATCGGAAGGAGCGGTCGGAACGTGCTGCGAAGGACGAACACGCCACCTAGTTGCCTCGCAGCACTCCCCCCTCCCCCCAGTAGATATTTGGGCGGAAAAAAGCGCTGGGGGTGGGGAAATTGAAAATTGGCGGCTCCGCGGGCCCTTTGGTCCGCAGTCCACCCGTTGGCGAAGCACCGACACACTACTGCGGGGCTGGCGGCGCGTCCTGCGCCCCCGATGGAGGCCGTTGGAACCCGCGCAGGCCGTCGTGGCACCTCCGTCCCGGACTCACCCGCCTGGCCCGGTGGGAGGGACGCCGATTGGGCGTCCCTGCTGACTGCCTTTGTATGAAAATGCCATCGGTAAGCAGGAGCGGACCCTTGCACCTCGCACGCGATGACGGGCGTTCCCCGCGTCGCGCCGGAACATCGGCCGGGTGGTGAATGGCGCGGCGCCTTCAGAGCCACCCCGCTGGAGTCGAGTAGTGCGCGAAACGTCGGTGTGTGTGTGGCAAGACTTGGGCTGGTTGTTGGGATCCTGTGCTGCTTATGGAAAACAGGGCGGTGCCCTTGCGCCATGCGAGCGATGATGGGGATCTGTGCCGTTGAAGATGGGCATTCGGGACAGCCTTGCGCTTGTGGAAAGGTGTATTGTTGTCCTGCACTCGGACAGGCGTACAGGGTTTGGCTGCGGGATTGAAGATTGGGGATGTTTTTTCACATTGACTTGGTGATATCAAGTACCGGGTTGGTACTGGAGTTGTCCAAATCGTCACTGCGTGTCATTGCTATTGTCAATGTAATGCGATGTACTGTACGAATTAGATTCAAAACTTTGTTTACAAACATATGCAATGTGGCACTGTGGACTCCACAGTGTGGCGTTCTGTCAGGTCTGTGGATGTGCTGCAATGGCAAGGAAATCGCACGAATTGGAGCACACTTCCTGCTAAGGGTAAAGTGGTTGCTTTGCCGCTTTGAGGGTGCGCAGGCTGCCTTCAGCAAGAGTGCATGATGAAAGCAAATGCGATGATGGTGGGCAGCAAAATTGGTATCAGGCGATGCTCAAATTGAGAGGTAGAGGGACATACAAGCCGATTGTGGCTCAGGTTTGTAAAAGTTCTCATCGATTTCCAAAAAAATCACAACACCACAAGGAATTTATTCCAGATGTTGCCCCAATGATGAAAATGCAAAAAGGCCGATACAAGAGCCACACTCTCTGTGGCACGTGCGTCAGGTAGAAAGGTGGTATTTTTGAGGGGCATGGAATGCAGTTGTGCTGTCATGTTTCCTTGCTGCCAGCCCGTTTTGCCATGCATGCAGCAAGGGGCTGTGGATTCTCATTCCAAAATGAAAATGCTTTTGATATTGAGGCTTGTGACTTTCCTTCTGTGGGCTTGGCTGCATGCGCTTGCAGCATCCTTCAGGTTTTGATTGTGCCCCTTCTAAAAGATTGGCCACCTTTGTTGGAATGCAGGTGCTGATACTGTGGGAATGATATATGACAGAAGAGATCATTCCAGCTCGTTTGCACCAGCTGCTCCTCAAGGTATGCGGTGCATCACTACAGATTTGTAGCAAGTCCCTTGGTCTCACCATTTTCGCAGGAATTCAGCCCCTAAGAATGGAGAAAATACTGTAATTGCATGGAGCACAGTTGTTGAAAAGATGTGGCAAATGAAAACCATTGTGCCTGACTGCCTATGATTGCCACAAAACATTCAATCACTGTTTGGACAATGCCCCAGAACATAGTTCCACAGTGGGATGTTTTGCAGTTGCCTGCAGGCGGCATTTATATTTTCTTTCCTTTTGTCTTTGGGGAGTGTCCTGGAGCAGAGGTCAGGAGACACCCTAGATCTGCACATTACAGGAATGAACAGCTGCAGTGCTCAGCACATCCTTGCTGGATTGCTGACCAGCAATCGAACAGTCCAGAACTGTCCGTGTGAATTTGGCATTGGTCCTGCTTGGATCTATTGTAGCTCATGTGGAACAGTCCAGCTGCACACGCAAGGTAGTGGCGATCAGCATAGATGGCATCCTGCTCAAAGGTACTCCTCATGGCGCCAATATGGGCACAGTTGCAGTTGCAGCAACAGGCAGAACAGTTTGCGGTTAACTCAAGTCTCTTCCCTTCCCACAGCTGTGCGCCGTGGCACTACCTACGCCTCCCCTTACCAAACTTGACCTAAAGAAGAAATCCCTAAAACCCACATATGCCACACAAGGAGTCTGGAAATTGCTTCACTTGCAGCAGCAGATTGGATCACCCTGTTGGTCTTGGCAGTAGAATTTGTGCACTGTTCCCGCAAGAACTGCTTTGCTGCAGAGTTTCTCACTCGTTAACATCTATATCTTGATTTACTTGTCACATGATGACAGAGCGATGCCTGTTCGCCCGCACTCTGTTCTTTTGTGATGCTGACACATCATGTTGCTTTTGTCTTGGGGGCAGGTATAGACTCCTGTATCTCCAGTAAGAGGGCTTGAATGCATGTGTCCATGGCAACGCGAAGCCACACTCAAGGCCATGGGAACTGCCTCATTTTTAAGTTCTGATGCCGACACAGCATCAGTCACTTTGTTCTGAACGTCAACAAGGATTTGACAATGCCCTGACAAATAGAAACACCCCAGTTGCACACCATGAGAGCGCACAAAGTGCACAGGTTTCAGAGGCAGACTCAGCAAGAAGGACCTCTTTGGTGCTCTGGCCTGCCATGCCGTTCGAAGACACATTGTTGATGTGATGAGAACCATGCAGGCAAGGGTGAGGGGGCATGATGTGACGCTGAAGGTTTGAGTGTGCGCGTCTTGGGCCATGGCATTGGTGTGGGGGCCTGTCTTGCAGCACAGTATCCCCATGGCTATGGCAGCCTAGAGCTGTGGGGGGGCTTGCTGGTGGGCTGGAAGCTCCAGCAGTCGAGGATGACCAGAAGCATGGCCACACTGAGGAGTCCAGATGAATTGTTATGAGGATAAAATGGATTATGGAAATTTCGAGTAGATTTGTGCAGATCATGGTGTCAGCGAGATTTATAGGCGACACAGTTTTGTGATTTATGCAGATCGAGGGGTGTTCATTGATTGGTGTGGAAGGGTTGGCATGTCCCAAGCGCGCATTGGGTGATTGAGAGTGTTGCTATTCTTGGATTCTGTGCACGTTTGGATCGCTTATTTGCCCCAGTGATCGAGAGTCTTTGCCAAGAAACCTTCACGTGCTGCTGCCTAGTGTGTGCGGGCGGATGTTGCCTTGCGCCATTGTATCTGGCTGCTGCGCCTCTCCACTGCACTGCGGTTGCATCTCCGGCGCATCAGAGAACAGGTTCTTCCCACGCATCGAGGCGAAAGGAACCAAGTTTAGGGCAAGGCGATGTGGGTCCCAACCAAAGCAATGGCGAAAGTTCCCAACAAACATTTCCTCTTTTTGCTATCTCCAGCTGTCAATTATGTGCGCATGCTAAACAGATTTTCACGCTTGGACCGCATTTGGCATGTGCTCTGCTATTCTCCAGCGGACTTGGGACTCGTTAAAATTTGAAGAGGTGGCGCTGAGGGTAGACCTTGTGTGCTCATGACTGTCTAAATGAACCCGTGGTGACGTTCCGCAACACGCTTTTCAGTCCCACCAATCAGCTGCCTGAGAGCATCCATTGCTTGCTGCCGGCGTATGATGAAGACTAGCCAAATCTGAGGAACGCTCGTCCACGAGCTCCAAAGACTTGCACATTTTGGCGAGAAAGGTTTTGTTTTCTGACGCCTGGCCTTTTTGGGCAATTACTTGCAGCTGCCGCCCCTGTAGTGAAATGCCAAGGGTGAGTACCATGACTGCGTGCTTGCGACAAAAGTGTCTGGTGGAAATATTGAATTGGTGTCCGAAACGGTTGGTGCGCCTACAGAAGGGGGTGGGGGGTAGAGGTGGGGTGGGCAGTGCGCCGCCCTGTAGTGCGCAGCCAAACAGCCCTTCAAAGTCTGCCGGATCTCGATGCAAAAACAAATGTGAGAGTGATTGCTTCCCAATGGTTGTGTGATACGCACGCCAGGGACGTTCGCCTTGCCACCAAGGCCCCCAGTTAGGAGCCGCAATCAATTGGACGTGAAACAGCGAAGATACGTGCTTTTGCGAAATATTTCGCCCACTCCTCACTCTGAACCACTCGCCTATCCAAACTGCATACATGCACTCAGGACTTTGTCCGTTGCCTGCAGCGTTTGGCCATAGTTCCCGCGCCCACGTATTTGGATATACTGTGCAATAGTGCAAAACATGAAGTGGGGGATGTGCTGCTCCCTACTGCAGAAGGACACCTGATACAAGAAGTGTGGGAGACCCCTCACTGTGCCTGCAGATGAATAGCGCACGATTCGAAATTCTTCAACACCACAGGGAGAGAAGAACTTCGCACTCTCCGCTTGTGAACATCTACTGCTGTGTGACGCTATCATTCACAAGAGTGCCTTTTGCAGCAGAAGAACGGCAGTTCTGAGTTAGACCATTTCAAACTTGCAACTCACAGGGCTCCACCAATTCAATCACTCCAGCCGTTGTCCAGGTTGCACTTCTCGGCGCCAGGCAATCGTGCCCCAGGAATCCCCCTCTTCTGTCTACATTGAAGGTAGGCTTCTGTGAAATTCACAGAAGTCGCTTAAGCCAAGGATGTATCAGCTGGCCAGAGCTTTCCCCCTCGCAGCACTGCCTCAAGCCAACCATTACATGCAGCTTGTGCCAAGATGCTGTGCACCATCGCATAGCATGCTCTGGCCTCTGAACTTCTTCGCTAGTTTCAATAGCACCTTCGGCTTCTGGCCATGAATTCATCATGGGGCGAATTTGTTCGAAGTATCAATCCAGGAAGAACACTCGAAGGACAAGGTTTTTCTTCTCCATTTCCGTGTGCGGCACTTCTCCCATGCTGGCAGGAACGTATATTTCACCTGTGTGGCCAAGCCGCCGCAGTGAGCGCACCACCCTTCCCAGCAAGCATGGTTTGAATTTGGCCAGGTGGTCCTGTTTGATAATCTGTTCACAGATTGATATCACAACAATATCATTCGTGTATTGCAGACTTGCAAATGCATGCAGAAGACACGACAGCCCAATTTCGTCCAGCACCGACAGCCGGGAAGGCTTGATCATCTCCTCAAGGAGAGGCTCCAGCACGTTGTCCTTCTTGTACTGCAGCTTGCTGTGTGCGCATATGGCGACTGTCAACTGAACCTCTTTCAACGACTCTAATCTTCTAGACTTGATGACTTTGTCGCTCAAGCATCTCAGTACTTGCAATTGGCGTGACCCAACCGTCTAAGTGCAGTCCAAGTCATTGCCAATCCACGCTCATTCAACTGCTCCAAACGCTGTCGTTTCGCGTCCTCGCCAATAAGGGTACCCACAACGCCTTCATCAATGCATTGCGGCCACCCGCACATCAACTTCCCCAGTGCAAACAACACGCGCACTAGATCTTTATCACGGAACATTGACAAACGCTCCGGTTGGAGGACTCTTCACCTGCATTCCAATCAGCTCATTCCACACATCATGTTTGTCACATCCTGGGTGGTGCACCGTTTCAATCGCTGAGGTTTAATAGTTTCTTCCATCAGATGGCTTAAGATGTTGCCATCCTTGTATCCCAGTCGTCCAAGGGCATACCAAAGCTGTACCGGCCCCTGCTCTATCCACTGTCACTGTCTGAGCAGGTTTCACAACTCTAGACAGAGAGCGCCGATAATGTTGATGTTGCCATAATGCAACCGCCCAATAGCATACAATATCCCCCTCAGCTCTTGCTCCTTGAGCAGCTCCAAACGCTTTAGAGTAATAACCTCCAGGCAGAGAGATGTGACCACGCTTTCATTCTTAAGTCCTAGGTCTGCCAGCGCCCGAAAAAATCTCGCCCACCCTTGCCTCTCGTAATGTTGCAATCGGTCGCGTTTAGCAGCCTATTCGTAAAAGACTAACAGCCCATTGCGCCTACCATGCCGCATCGCTCCTAAAGAATACAAAACAGTTGCAAGTTCACTCAGTTGTGCCAAACGAGAGGACATGGTGAGCTCTTTACAAAAGGCGTTTAATACACCATAATTGTTGTAGCCTGGTTGTCGAAATGCAAGAATATTCTGCATCAGATATCGATCAGTGAACTGTGCCATGCGCACAGGCTTGATGGCCTCTTCACAGGGACTCTTGACCACACACCTATTCTTGCACCTGATTCTATCAATTGGGATCTGAAGATTCTTGATAGACTTCGCTCACGGCGTTGCCTCAAACGCTCTTGCCTGATGAACTCTTTGCCAAGGGCATTCACGGCGCTGTCATTCTCAAGCCCAAGCACAGTAATTCCAAAGATGGCATCAGTCAGATTTTGGCAAGTGAACTTTGCCAGATGCATGAGCTTTATGGCCTCTGCACTCAAACATCCGACTGCCAAAATGTCCTTGCACTGCAGTTTCGCAAAGGACAACAGGAATCTTGACAACAAGCCCTCACTGTATTGTGCCAAGCGCAGGCTTGACAACCCCTTCAGTGAGCGCCCTCAGCACACCATCAGTGGCACACCCAAGCTGCGCGGCAGCAAAGAAAACACCAGTCAGATTCACATTATGGAACTGTGCAGACGCACAGGATTGGTGACCTCTTGTACATCAAGCCTTCACGATTGCAGCAGTTCAGCCCACAAAATGTCTCCACTATGTTGCTCTCGATTGGGGGCTGCAGTACATCGACGAGAATGATCACATCATCACAGATTGCCTCAACGACGGTTTTCTTTCTATATTCCAGGCTGCTAAGTGGATGCAAAATATGTACCAAACTTAACATGTTGGCATGCTTCAAACAATCACACTTGACAGCTGCTTCACAGAATGATTGCACAAAGTTAATGATATATGATGCCCAAGTGCGGCAAGGAAACAATGATACTTGCCAGCCCATCCGCTGTGAACTCTACCAGCCTGGAGCCTTGTGCACTTTTCTTCACCAGTTCATATGCAAAGCACTGCGCCTCAATAGGCAACCCAACACCTAGCGGCCAGCCTCCCCAGCTGACACTTCGCTTGTCATCATGTACCAGGCGTGCAAGGTAGTAAATCGACTTGCCAGGGCAATCTGACCGAACTCTGACGCAAGCCCCTTCCTCCCTGCGGACGAGGCCAACTCTTCCGGGAAGTCTTTCTGCTTGTGCCGCGCTTGACTGCAAGCAACATATACCACATGCCATGGACGAAAGTACGATATGAGGTGCTTGAGTCTACATGTCACCCCTGTACATGCATCAGCATCTGTTCCAATGTTTCCTGCAAGAACCTCCAGTTCCTTCAAAACACCCGCCATCCCACAGGAATGCATCAGCGGATGGGCATCCATGTTGCAACCCTGCACAAATATGTAAAAACACGTAAAATATATATAAACATGTCCGGCACACACCCCCTGTTGTCTGGTCCCGGCCTCCTTTCCCAAAACACACGCCCCTCGCGCCTTGAAAATCCAGTCAAAGCATGGATCCTCCCCTTGCAACATTCGGAGACCTCTGTCACGCGCCCCTCCCAACGCGGGGAACGGCTGTGCGGGTTGCGTCCAAGCCGAGAACTGCTATCCTGCCATCTTGCAAGCCAGGACAGCTGCTCACTACCATGACCGCTTTTGTCTCCTTCATTCCCACGTCATGGGCCGGGAATCGATGGTTGGCCCACGCTCAGCCCTTCGCGCCTCCCGGGCTGACGCCATCCCATTGAGCCTCGAAGCCAATCATCGTACTCTCCCCACGACGATCGAAGGCATGGCTGGGCGCGAGTGACGCAGATCGCCTGGACTGGCGCAGTCGGCTCGCGGGCACCCCTGGCGAGACTCGCCCCTCCAGCGCGCGCGAGCAATTCGACAGAATTGGCGCGAGTCGTCAGCCCTCAGGAGGTCCGTTGGAGTTCCGGAGCTTAGTGCGCCCCAGAGGGGCATAAGAGGGACCGTATCCCGTCAGGGTCCGGAACATCACCCGGTCCCATGGCCGGGGTACGCGGCCAATGCACACGGTGTACACCGCCGACTTTGTCAGGACGCATTTGCAAATGCAGTACCCGCAAATAGCACGTCCTTGGCCCCCCCTGTCCACCCCCAGCCCCCACGCACCGAATGGACCCGGAAGGTGAGCCCACTGGCGCGGCCTGGACACCCTGTCTTCTCGGCCGGCCTCGCATCACACTTCCCGGCGTCTCGTTGTCCCACGGAGACTGTACAGCCCAGGTGTCGCTTGGAAGCGCCTCCTGAGCTTGGCCGATGCGTCTGGTTGCGCTCCTGGGGCTGTTTGCCAATGCGCAGCGGAGCCCATGGACAACCCAGGAGGCCCAAGGGGGTCTTCTGCAATGCACGCTTCTTCTAGGCGCCTCGCGGGGAAGTTGGCGGCTTCCTGCCTGCCGTATTTCTTCTTGTGCCCTTTTGGGCCGGCCGGTCGACTGATGGTCTTGCCGTTTCAGAATCACCTGCGCCGGAGGCATTCAGCGGGAAAGATGAACTCACGAGGGACTGCGACATGGTGCTCGTTTGCAAGCACGGCGCCCGCCTTCACGTGCACTCGCTGATCCTCTCCAAATGGTCCCTGGTCATCGGGTCTTTCCCTGGGGTGGCTCAGCGTCGAAACAGCATCGACGGTGCCAAGGAGGGGCTGACCGAATTCCCTGTGGATGACCCTCCGGACGTGTGGAGAGCCGTCCTGGGTCTCCTGTACCCGGTGACGCCCGTCACAGAGCTGGACTGGGTAGGCACCATTAGAAGGCGCATGCATGCCAAAGTTCACTAGAATCTTGTGCTGCGTTCCTCTGATACATTTGTCATGGCGAGACAAAGCACAGCCCCTGCGCCTGGAACCTTGTGCTTGCTTGGCCTTGTTCTGCTTCAGCCATGGTTACTGTCCGTCATTCCGAGTGGGCCTGGTGCGATCAGTTCATCAGTGCCAATTGCAGGTGTGGCTGGCGTGCACATGGAGAGTTCTTTGCAACAGAATGCAAGAGTTGAAATGCAAGGGAGCTCCCCCTCTGGAGAAATAGTAATGTTATGGTGCCTTGTGAGCCATATTTGATGCCATTGTGGCTGGTGCAATTGAGACGATGGGCTTCAGATGTCAGTGTGATCTCCAGCAATAGGCGAAGTCCAGATTATGTGCACAGAGAGGGTCTGTGTGCCATCCGTATACTGTTTAAACTTGAATACAGCATCCAAACGCAGGAATTAGTGCAATCTCTTCAACCTTAATATGTGCATATGATGAACAAATAGCATATCTGCGGTCCACTCTTGACACCACAGCCGAATTGAAGCCATTCGTGAATCGCTGCCCTCATATTTGTGTCCAGCAACTTTCACAGGCACAAACATTTGTCCCGAAAGTGTTTTCCCCTTTGGGCGTCGATGGCTGTAGTTGAACAAATGCCAACTGTATGTTTCTGCCCTTGTCATGGCCTGCAAGCTGCAGATGCTTTGTTTCAATGGCATATCAGTGCGCATCTGGGCCAGGTGGGCATAAGACTAAGTACTTAGTACTTTGGTCTTTTTTGTACTCACCAAGCCCAATTGTTTGTTGAGGACTGAAAACTGGCAACGGCATTCAGGCTGGAAAAATGCAGCGATCGCATTCATGAATCCTGACAAATCACTGCTCTTTTGCCTATTCGACTGTGCCAAAGCCACAGTGCAAAAGCTGGACATTGGCTATTTTCATTTCAGAGAGTTGGATCAGTTTCGACACTGTTTTGGATGTGGTCCAGGACAACGTCGAGAGCATATACGAGCTGGCAGACAAGTACAACATGCCGGGCGTGGTCGAGCGCTGCGAGTCGTTCCTGATGAGCCCCCGTTGCTCACTCAGCCCCAACGCCCAGGACAACAACTATGTGCTCAAGTGGCTGGCCTTTTCGGCCAGCTACAGGCAGCACAAGCTGAAGGAGAAGTGCATGCAGTACATACGTCTGACTTACCGGTCGATTGACGAACTGCGGAATCCGCCTGAAGGCGGTTACCTGAGAAGTGTACTTGCCAATCACCCCGCAGGTGTGCAGTACATTGTGGACATCCTGTCGTTTGTGATGCAACAACGGAGATGAGCCCTCAGGGAGGGGGAAGGAGGGTAAGTGGAAGTGTAGTCATAGAAGCTCCAAAGAAGCAGCGGACTAGCTGTGAGGTCGAGCGTGGCGTACAGTCTGTGTTCAATAAGAGAGAAAGACGTTGGCAGTTCGGTGATTGTGGTTTGCATGCCAGCACGGAAAGCACAGCCATCATGCAGCCTCTGATGAAGCCTGTGGCCTGCCACTGGAACAACACACCTGCTTTTACAATGTTCTACCCAGCCCCACAAGCAACTGCAGTCTGCAACACCCACATTTTACCCAGCATGCACTGTGCTCAAACTGGTTCTTGCACAACGGTAGGAACCAAAGGATACGCTGTTGTTCAAAACTGCCCAGATAAATGCTAGGGTGCCATGGCCTTCACATTATCCAACATGGAGTGCATTTTCCAAACACTGAGCGCACCGGGTGTGAACACCAACTGCTAGCCTCCCAGATTGGTTGGCAGCCATGCCACCGTCTCCAGCTGCTGATCAGTATGTCGACCCATGGCCACGTGTGCATACAAACTTGTGTAGGGCCTGGGATTTCCGTCAACGCGTGGCACAGTCGTCTATCAACCTTGTTGTGATGTTGACTCCAAGACATCCCATATTCAGAGTGTGGGGTTCCGCCTCTGTCGACTGTGCGTTCCAAAGCAGTAGTGCATCGCCCTGACCACAAAGCCACGCCAGGTGTGGTGTGGGCGCACGCCAGCTGCATGCTTAAGCGGGGGACGGCACAAATCCGCAGTTACTTAATTCGTAAGTACGTGACACATCGCCGCTGCTGTGCCTGTGGATGTCAAACTCCCCCGATATTGGAGAGTTATGACTGGTAATGGCCACTCCATGCTGGCATATCACCCACCAAAGCCCGCCGTCACACAGGTGACTAGGTGGACCTGTCAGGTCTTTGTACCAATACCCTCAAAGACTAGCGGCGGCGACAACCAATTGTTCAGCCGGACACGGGCCGTCCAACCGTTCTTCAACGCTGCGAGCTCAGGCATTGCAACCCTGAACTGCAAAAATGGTGGCATGCGCGCTGTCGGGGCAGTCTGTCAACAACCATCCAGCATGTCAAATCTAAATTCCCTCAGGCCTGTCAATGAAGTGTGCCCACACACTGTCAGGCACAAGAAGCTGCAATGAGCAATGCTGCAGTACCTGACTTGACGCAAGCATCTTATTCAGTCGGAAGCACAACGTGTAAACGGCGCACACACGATGCAGTCGCACGTCAATCGGCCTGGCGTATGGGGATCCGGGAAGATTTACCCCACCTTCTGGGCTTTCCCTGCAAGCCCCTGGGCCACACACCCTGGGAACACCGCGCCGTTGTCCTGAGCCCGCAGCACATCTGCGATAGGCAAGTCTGCCTCCAGTCCTTCGTCCACATCTGGCACCCAGCAAGGCCAGGTGTCAGTCACGTGACAAAAAATATCGGTTGTCAGCAGATGTGCCACATATCAAAGCTATTGCAGCGCCACTTATCAGCAGCCATGCTCGAAAGGGGAATCGGAGGCACTCGTTTAGAAGGCAGGTATGAAGGATGTCCTGCCCACAGAAAGGCACATGCGCGTTTTGGGGCAATAGGGGTGCTGTAGTCTGGCCATTGCTAGACAATGTTCTCTGGAAACGGCTGGCCCCATTGGCTCGAGGGGAACTGCAATAAATGCCCAATGCGGCCGTGCAGAGCTCACCACTCAAGTACACCAGAACGACTGCAAGTTGGTTGCTTCCTTCGCTGCCTGCTGTCAGTCCTTTGACAAAGGCGGAGCGAAGTCCGTATTTCTCACCGTCTTGGTATCGCAACACCTGACAACATCCACACCAATTCTCTGTTCCTGGCATGTTCTGGCAAATAGCCGAATGTCTTCCTGAACAGGCCAGGGGTGCAGGCTGCCTGTCGCAGCAAGTGCAAATCGCAGCCATACACACTGCTGATGCATAGTGCGGACACACAGTTGGAGTCATTCACGCGAATCTTGGGAACAAACAATGTGGACATTGACAGCGCCCACCATCGCCTCACAAGCGCAAGGGCTTTGTTTAGACCGTGGGGGAATGCAATTTAAAACAACTCAAGATTCAATGTTCGCATCGGAAGTAACCTGTTTCGCTTTGGTGAAAGTACAGATTTGGGACAGCGGCGCCAATTACCTGCATGGCTTTGCGTTATGATGCAAGTTATCAAAGTGACCTGATTTTCTTGCCACATTTTTGCTGCAAATTGCACAGCAACCCACGATTAATACACAAAAATCCAATGTGGGTAAGTGCTCGACCCTGTCTCTGCACAGTGCTTGTTGGGAGCACAAAACAGGTTCAGGACACGCTGAAGATTCTTGAGCGCAGGGTGAACATACAAACCTATGCATTGCTCAACGTTCACATAGACAGATGGCGAACAGCAGCACTGCACACCCAGTGCTCAAGAGCCGGAAGGTATCCAAAACAGCGGGCTTTATTGGTGACAGCGTGTGGCTGTTCGGTGAGACGCACAGGGATGGTTGATGCTATCATGGGGTGTCCATTCTGAACGGTGCTATTATCGTCAGTAAGATGATTTGTTCTAGAAACACAAGTGATGCACACTGCAGGATTTGAATAGCTCTAACATTGGTGATAAGAAGCACTACTCTTGCATTCGCAACTCTTGATGTGAGGGCACTCCATTCACTGACTCACAGCAGCATCGTTGGATAGATGATGTTGTATTCTACTATTCATGAATTGAGTGGCCTTTAGTGGCTCTCCACACACACCTATTCAAAACTTAAGTGCCGTTTTCAAGAATGTGATTTGGCCACCAGCCTATAGTCAATGTCTATTCGCCAGAGTGCATACAAAGAAGCAAAGGGCGTAGCGTTCTCCCAAGGAAATTGCTTCACTCCGCATTATTACTGGTCCCAGTGAGAGTGCCAGTGTAATACCCCCGCTGGTACTTTGGTGTTTGCGGAAGCGCTGGGCTATTCTAAATCGACTGGCTTTGCCACAGGCCCACCTGTAGCGGAACTTGGTTGTTTGCTCCCAGTCGTGTCCAGGCAGCAATCTTTTCTTCGACGCGCTGTACGACACTGTCATGCCCACGCCTGCAGCGATGACAATTATTGCTTTGTCATTTGCATATCGGTACTGTCCCATGGCAGTGACCTGCATTCTTTGCAGTGTGCATCCTCACCAATGAGCGAACAGAGGTGTGTCCAAGCAAGGCAGGATACAGGGTCTTCGATAGTTTTGAAACATCAGGCACGCTCAAGGCGGACTATCCGGGCCCGTCGATGACATGTTCACTGCCATGTCTTGCATTGGCCATCAGCTCTGGAATCCGCGAAAAATTCTGAGCACTGCCTGCCACCATTCCAAATTCAAGCAGACCTTAAAAATGCATTGGAGCTCAATCGATTGCTTCCCTCTTCCACAGAACCTGAATCTTGAAAGTCCTCTTTCCCAGTGTTTGATTTTATCTGCGTGAACCAAGGGGGGAATGCACACAATTGAGCAACAATAAAATCACTGCAAACGCTACATTTCCTATGTTGACGTTCTTCATAGGCACCCTTGTGAATCCCCTCCTTGAGTCGCCCTGCTGTGTACAGGTGCGGTCCTTGCACTCTCCTTTCTCCCACCCAACCCCTGCGCATCTGCCTGTTTTAATTGATATCATGTGAACCGCTGTTTGCGAGGTTGCTCAGATTGAGTAAAACACAGGGGTTAGGACACCTTTCCGGCAGTGGACTGTATTGAAGAAGCGATTGCACATGCTCATGCCCGCACACATGCCCACAATTTGCGATTGCAACAATTGCCCCCTTTGACACATGGAGCACTTAGTCTGTGGACCAGTGTACACAATCTAGTTGCAAGGAATGGACACACAACACAGTGAGGTTGCTCAGATTGAGTAAAACACAGGGGTTGGGACACCTTTCCGGCAGTGAACTGTACCGAAGAAGCGATTGCACATGCTCATGCCCGCACACATGCCCACAATTTGCGATTGCCACAATTGCCCCCTTTGACAGATGGAGCACTTAGTCTGTGGACCAGTGTACACAATCTAGTTGCAAGGAATGGACACACAACACAGTGTGGTTTTTTACTCCATGTAGGCTGGGGAACAACGAGCCACAACCATCTCACCCTTGACCACATGAATTGGTCTTTTTCTCTCCAGCATTTCCTTCGATTCAGGGGAAGATATTGACAACAATCAGGGAGACAAGTTTGTGGCATGTGTGCATTTGCACATCTGCTGGCATAAGACAGAGATGTACTACTTGTCAGCCCTAACTTTCCACATACCATCAGCCCACACCACACTACCAAATGGCAACCTTCAACAGCACGACATGGGACTTGTAGCCTCCATTTCTGCTGAACTAGCTTGCTGGGCTCGATCAAAAGAAATGTTCAGGGTGATATGAAGCCCACTTGACTGTTTGCAGCAGCGCTGTTGCTTCCAAGTGCATACAAGTTACCCAGGTTCACATACTGCAGCAAATCAACTCCATGCATACCACCACAACTGTAGAAGAGGCAAATCCATTCCTTGCAATAGAAGTGGCTGAAAACAACCTTCTGTGCACTGAACGCCTACCATGGGCTCTGCGATTCCGACAAGATGATCACACTCTGCCGTTGTCAGGAAGGCATGGAACAGGAACACCATAGGCTCCCACGATAAAGTCTCTATCCTGGGAACATAAACAGACACTTTCAATATTATGGAAGCCTTACTCGTACACCACTGAGGTGCTGTATGTGGTCAACTCGATGAACATGGCCGTGCTGCAACTGCACATGCTTCCATTCTCCATTTGAGCATGGACAACAACAGAATCCCTGTTCCTGAGCAAGAAGTTTTGTGACACATCTCTCCACATAATAAAAGCAGAAGCATCCGAATGCAACAGACATAGCTTGCAACGTAGAGCAGCCAGACAGAGATGAAGAGCCAGGTGTGACAGCGGGGAATGGTATGACATTCACACTGTTCAAACAATAGGCAATCTGACTGCAACTACAAACTCACAATATCCTGGCACCAAAACATGAGCCATAAAACGCGCCATAAGCACGTGCAGATCACTTCAGTTAACATTGCGTTGCCGGTTCCAATTCAATTCGTTTGTGTCCGAAATTGGATTCTGCAGATTCCCACCACAAACGCGCAGGGGAAAGCAGCGCGCTCGCTTTCCAACCACCATTACCATGTGTTCCTCTGGGGGAACGTCTGCTTCGGATCAAAATTCTCTCCCTCCCAGCCGATCAACCGCTGCTCAACGCCACCTGGCGCGCAACAACGAAGGGGCGGATCAGCGCCATTTCGCCCGAGTGGAAGGGCGGATCCTTTCGCAGCACCGCAGATAATGAAACAATGGACTTCGTGAGGCAATGCGCTGGGCAGCTCCCCACGTGCAGGCGTCCATGGCTGGGCATCCAGCAACCAAGACGCTCTTTCGCTTTTTGGACTCCTCCACGGCGCTCTAAACAGCTGTCTCACCCCTGATTGCTCTCGACGGTCTGGATAGCAGAAGACATAAAATGGCGCCCCAAAATACCCGACCGTGGACCATATCTGCCAGTCACTGGGGCCCACCGCGCCCTCCAAGGAGACTACTCAGGGGGTGTCCCGCAGTAGAGCCGTTGTCGATGAACATTACCCGGCCCGCCTTTGATGGCTGTCGTTGATTCATGTGAATGTCGCACAGTGACAAGACCTCCATCAATTGGCCATTGCATTGGATGGATTTTGGGACCTCGGGACGGGTATAGGCGTCATATAGGGTATATGGGAGATGCCGACAGCATCGAAGAAAGGCACCAGTTTCGCGTAAGTTTTCCAAACACGATGCTGCACCGTCGGGTTAATCAGAGGACCGCGCTTGCGCAGCGCGCGCGGATATCCGGCCTTGTAAGTTTTCCAAAAAGTTCAGCCAGGCACAGAGGCGCGGGGTTGTCCAGCGGGAAGTGCAGAGAAGCCAAGACGAGACCTCGTGAGCATTTGACAGGTCCCCGCCCTTCCGGCATCCGATGGCCAACCCTCGATGTGCGGGCAGCTGCTGTCTCCTGTGCCTGTGCCGTGAACAGAATAGATTTCCAGAACAGATTTCGGAATCCTTCCTCGCCATATGTACTTTTGCTGTCGAGGACCTAATCCGATACGATACCTACCTCCGGCTGCCAGGTCACAGTTTGCCGACACCCTCTCAAGTCCATCACCACTTTGCCACGCACGGCTATCCAGCCAGCAGCACCTGGATATGGCGTTCGAGACGTCCAGCAACACACACGTGCCCAGCCCGGTGCTGGCCATCGACGAGGTGCGCTGCCATGGACTCTTTCCCCGCCACCTGGACAGCCCCTTAAGGACAACCTGGCCAATAATCTTCATGCATCCGTCCGTCACACTCTGAGCACGATGGCAGCGGGGAGGCCTTGCTGAGCGCGCCTGCTGCATAAAATTTGCGGACTGTTCAGTTGTCTCGCTCCACCCCTGTGGCTCGTATGCCGACACATGACGCCCGGCGCGTTCGATGGGATGCAGGTCGCTGGTAGCCCATTCGATCCTGCAGGGAGCAGGTAGCCATGGCTTCGTCGAGTAGATCTGCCAGTTTGGCAACTCACTTGAACAGTTTGCTTGGTCCGCGATTCCCATTTATTTGCAAATGTGTGTCTTGTGGTAAAAGATGTTATGGATGAAAGAAGGTGTTGGGTGGATGGCGACTTTCCATTACCCAGAATGTGGTGGAGTTTTCATGGCTGTCTGACTGAATCAGACATCACGCCCGGAATGGAGCACAATGCCATGGCAATGCCCCGAACAGTACCGACTGGGCCTTGGATGTGTGCCTTGGGCAGAGGCTCAGATGCACAGTGTGGACAACAGAGAAAACCCAGAGGATGTTGCGCATCTGCTTGGACGAGTAAAAAAGAGCTCAGCTGTGCTGTTGTCCTCCACGGAAATTAATGATCAGAGAATTTTATATATGGCCTTAAAACTGCGATAATGGCAGGTCTGCTCACTGTGTGGTGAACTGCAATGGCTGCTGCAGGGCCGGCTGCTGGACTACTTAGCAGACAATGTACCCTCTTTCATGAATGTGCAAAGATTAGTTGTTCTCATGTTCGATCATGGGCGGTCTAATCCTACATACCTGATCAAGGTGAGCTGCAGAGTCATGTTTTGCAGAATTGGCGATGTGCCAAAGCCATGCCTGTTGGTAGTGGCGTTCCTGTTGAAAATGCAGCATCAACTATACTTGCTGCAAGAAAACAGCACCAGATCGAACCAGCAAACTTGACATGGTTGACCATGAGTAAAAGTGTATGAGCCGTGCTACAGCACTGTCAACTAAAACGCCTGCAGGCTCTGTTTGCAAAATGGTTCCTTGCTGCCATTCTGACCTTTCACTTGTGATTGCGTGTCCAGGCCTTTTGTGTCGGTTGTTGCTGTATTTGGTTCCAAATATTACAACACATTTCAAAGTAACACTATGGAGTCCATCAATACTGGCCTGTATGTCTGTTGTCTGGATGCATTGGCACTGGTATTAGGGAATGCAGGTGATGTTGGCACGCACTGACACTGGGATTGCTTGTGCCATTTTCAGACTGGTGCGAAGCAGTATGTTCTCCGCAAAAAGCCTCCTGGGCAGTTGCTGCCATCAGCGCACAAGATCGAAAGGGAATACCAAGTCATTGCTGCGCTCCAGGACACTCGTGTGCCAGTGAGTGTTAGTTGTGTTTTTGTCCTCTTTGATATTGTACTTTAGTTTATGCAGCGACTGCTGACGTAGAAAAGGTGTTCAGGATATTGTGGCGCCTCAACAATAGAAATCACCAATGAAAAAGGAATACAACGAAATTGAAGATTGGCTGATTCCTGCCATTTGGATGAGAATCAAGACTGTTTGGCATCTCCATGCAATGTGTAGTTTTCCTAGATGGCGATGCGCAAACCATGGACATGCCCGCACTGGGTCTGCAAGACTCCTGCAGTGAGAGTTCTATTGAAAATCATGCCACTGAGTGTTGAGCAGCCTGAAAACAGTGCCATGCATGTTGCTTGAGTCTCAAACTTTCCATGGCTCTGATTGTGTGTCGCAAAATGGTATCAGTTGAGTGGGTGGATGTACACAACTGAGCATTGAGTGTACTCAATGTGGCACTGTCCCAGATACGATGTGGCATCTCCAACTCCTGCTTGCCTCAGGTTGTTCTCTTCTACTTGCAAACAAAGTTAGAGCTTGATCAGCTGCCAATGGGACAATTTGCGATGCTCACTGTGCGTTGCACTCCTGGTGCAGTCGTTTGTACAAAATGATGAAGCGCAAAGGGCGGCAGTCACATTGTGCTGAGCTTGTCCAGGTTCCAAGGGCCATATGCCTCTGCAACCAAGCTGCAGTTATTGGGACGCCATTCTATGTTATGGAGCACGTCCAGGCAAGTCTCACAAGTGCCTCTGTTCTTCATCCACAATGTTATTGTGTGCCAAGAATTGACTAGGTATTCCCAGTGTCGCCTCCGTCGATGCTCACTGCCATCAGCTTGTTGCTCTTGGCCTGCAGCATGGATTTCCTTCACAGCAGCTCAACCAGGGGTTGTGTTTCACCAGCGTTGAGCTTCATTTTTGGTCAGCATTTTGTTTGATTCTGTTGTCCATGGCATGTCACCTGAACAACACAATGAATGGCTAACACATCCCATACTTTTTCATCACTATGTCAAGCCGAGCAGCACAAAGCCCAGGCGCATCCAGGCACTGGACTGTTTGCCATCCCCAAACGCTCTACAATCCAATAGAAATTCTGTTCGACCAATGACAAGGCCAGCATCCCAAGTCACCGACTCTTAAATGTCATGTTAAGATTGAAGAAGAACATCATCCCATCCATTTGGGTTTTCTGCACAATGGCTAAGATGTCCACCAGCGCCACGAAGTGAGGGGCATGCTTGCGAACGGTGCAGTAATGCATGCATAGTATGGGGGCAGTAATGCATGGCATTCATATTTACTGACTGTGTCTCGTGCATGCCTTTTTGTTTCAGGGCACTATTTTTGTCGATCCAAACCTGCCATCTCTCTCCTCAAGCCAAAGACGAGCTGTGTACTGGCAAATGGCCGGTGAGTTTCACAGATTATGTAGACATCTGCAGTGCAGAATCTGCATGCATGCCAACAGAATAGCTCACCAGGTTGTAGAATATCTTCTGTGTTTGGGCTCCAAAGGATGTCAGGATCCCTGGGTTTCATGAAATATGCTATATTATAAGGCTCAGCTTTATCACATCAAGTGTGCACTGAGATGACGCAGCTGCATCTTGATAGACACTAACGACATGTTTCCGCTTTTTGTAGCTGCATGGTCTGCGGTTCTGTGGTCCTCTGGAAAAGGTCCTCTCATTTCAGCTGATGGTCATCGGATTCTGACTGACAACATTGTGTGTTGGTGCAACCTTCTGTGTATTTCAGCTGCCCTGGCTTCCCTGCATGATGTGAAACCTTCAGATGTGGGACTTGGCAGATTTGGGCATCCTACAGGGTACTGCAGAAGGCAGGTAAGCATATGCAAATTGTATAGAATCAAGTGCTTTGGACTGAAAAGTAGTCATGAATCGCGATCCTGCACGATGTGTGCAACAGCCATCATGTGAATTTCTTGGCAGGCAGCTCTCCAAGGCTTCTTGGCTGTGAGCTTTGTCATCTCATCGCAGGGATGCCACATCCTGTGCTGTGATGTGCATGTGATTCCACGTGTGCTTTGCTTCCACGGATGCTGATGAAGTTGTCATTTGCATCGAATGTGCAATGCTGTGCCATCGTTTTGTAGATGAAGCAACAGAAATCCATAGTAGGGAAGCGTGCATGCCCAGACAGCCTACATTGGAACCCTTGCACAGAAACAGACTACCCCTGAGCACTTTGAGGCTGATCGCGGCATGTCACTCACTGACGTGCATGTCCTTGTGTGCTGCTCTACATTTCTGTGATTTCTTTATTGGCAACAATTCCAGTACTGCACCAGCCAGATGTGTGTCATTGAAGGTGCAGGTGAAAGTGGGAGTACACTGTGTGGCATGGGAATTGCATGTGCTGGGACAATGCCACTGACCTCATCATATTGCGCCCTCACTGAACAGTTTCCGCATTGAGTGCTGCTGACACGTTCTTCCTTCTTGCTCAAAGTTCATTTTGCCAGATATCGCCCCACACAACAGTCCTCAGTCTTTACACCAATTCGCAAAGTCAATTATTATCACAAGCACAGATGGCTGTTTTTCCCAGGTTAGATTTGTGGTCTTGGTATTGGCCAGGTTGAGCGCTGGTGGAAGCAGTACAGAGCGTCTGTTGCTGACGTTGCAAGTGATGAAGTCACACAGCTAAAACAGTGGCTGGAGAGCAACATCCCTCGGGATGATGGGCTGCAGAAGGCAGGGCATATTACACATGGTATGCATCATGCAGTGTTTGTTGCGGAGAAATTTGTTTGTGGCCAACATGGCATCCAAGTGAGACTCGAACCATGACCTTCAGTAACAATATGCATCATGTTTCCTTGAATCGGTTCATTAAATCAAACAAGCCACTGCGATGAGTTATGATTTTTGATCTGCCAAGGGTACTCAGGTTGCTGGAATTTGAGACTGAGCAGTCGTTGGGACAAAGGCCAACTTTGGGATTTGCTGCACTTTTCTTTTAAGTAACACAGGGCCCCTACCTCTTCTGTTGCAGAGTGGATGGTACTTGCACTCTTGAATGTCAAGCAATGTTTTGGCATCAGAAGAAGACCAAAATATACAAAACTGTCCAATCAGCCAAAGGCTGTAATATTTGTCTCGTTTCCCTGGTATCTGCCCTGAATCGCTGTGATCTGTTTCAATGTGTTCATGCCCATACAAAGACAAGCTGCATGTGGGCAATCGCTAAATGCGACACTTGAGGCCATGCAACGTTTCTGTGGCGAATCGCCTTTTGAGTATGATGAACAAGCCAATTGGCTCCGCTCGTTGATGGTTGATTGCTCTTTGATGTTGCCATGTTTGCTGGTGTCTCACCTGTGGCTTGTATTGTTTGTATTGTTTCTTGCTGCCCTTTGCAGATCTGTTTGACTTTGAGTGCATGAAATGCATTTTTCTTCTGTGTTGCTTGTCCAGGTGATTTCCGCATCGACAATCTGGTATTCTCCAACGAAGATGAACCACGTGTGAAAGCCATCCTGGATTGGGAGTTGAGCACATTGGCAAGTGCCACCAGATGGCTTTGTGCCGCAGATGGTGCTTTACTTGCCTGGATCAAACATGGGCAATTTCGCGTGTGCTAGACCTGTCTTCATGTCTTTGACTATGTATTGCGATTGGTCTGTATATCTGTGGGGAGCAGTCTGCAGTTTGCTAGACTTTGGCATTGGCAGCACCTGTTCAGTTGCTCACACTTGCCCTTGGTCTATCACAGGGGGATCCATGGGCCGATGTGGCATACAGCTGCCTCCAGTACTATGGGCCCAGAAGTTCACCCCTTGCAGGCATATCATCTCCCTGCCCAGATGGCATCCCCACCGAGGTTGGTTATGCGATGCCGTGAAACAAAAGCAAGTGTGTGCAGGCACCTCGCGAGTGCCTGATGCTTCAGTGGTTTGTATTTGTTTCGATGTACCTGGTAGCCTTCGCTTCAGTTGTGCAGAAGAGCCTCCAACACTGTCTGTGGTCAACATGTCCTTGGTATGATTTACTCCGGCACGTGTTTGAAATAGCCCCCTCCTTACTATTGACCTCCTTCTTTCAAATTGTGCGCACGTGTAGGATGAGTATGTGGGTTGGTACTGCAGCATGCGAGGCGTGAAGAAACCCAGTAGGCAGCAATGGGCTTTCTATGCTGCCTTGGCACTGTTTCGCATTGCAGCCATCACTCAGGGCGTGTATGCCAGGGCACTGCAGGTTTGTCCCGTTCAGCTGCTACTGGATTCTGAATTTCCTTTGTTGCTTTGCCGGCTTTGAACATGTGCATGGTGGACATGAAATACAATGACGATGCCCAAATAGTGTGTAGAGGCTGTTCCAGTGGTAAAGACTTTGCTGTCCACTTCTTGCATCTTCTGTTGAGTTCTTTCTGTGTTTATCCCTGTTCACCTGTTTCTTGATTCCTGTTGTTGATTTTCGCATTGAGGAAGTACCAGAAATCCCAATTTCGAGATACTGTGTGCATGTGCCTGCCAGTCGTGTATTTCAATTCGCTAGTTTGCAAAGCAAACAGTACACCTTGTATGCAATATGCTTTTCTGAGGATTAGGAATTATTTTGTGGCCATGAGGCATTGGTTTGCCTGGACAAGGTTGCCAAATTGCCTTGGAATGGTCATCATGGATAACAGCTTGGTCGTCATGCAGGGCAATGGAGTATCCGAGGGGGATCAAATTGCCAACTTTCCTAAGGTGGTGGATGCTCTGGCGTGCCGGGCCTTAGAAATCATTCGCCTCCAGGACACTGCACAACCAGCATCGCGGAAATCTGAGTTGCAAATATCAGCTCTGGGGAAGCCATCCGTCTCGGGAACCGGTTTCGATGCACCCCCCAGGGTTAGGACGCTCGCAGCTTCCCTCCATCGATTCATGGAAGAGACAGTGCTGCCAGCGGAGGAGGTCCTGAATGCTCATGCTTGCTCTCCTGAAAGGCAAGAATGGACACAGATTCTTGTTGCGTGTGTTTTTGTCTTTGCTGTTGGAAGCCATGTGGCCCTTTGGACCTTGAAGCGATGAGGAACGCTTGTGCATCCAGAATATTTGCTTGCTCTTTGTTTGCTCCCATTGGTGCGCTGCACTGAGCGTGTCTGCTGGGACTCTGGGTTGAGATTGGAACCGGAAAGGCAGGCGATTCGCCATCCATGGACGAAGCACTGATGCCAGAATGTGTTCATTTTCTTCAATGAGGATCTTAACCAAGCTCGTTGGGGAAATACCCCATTTTGCAGCTTTCAAGGGAAGCAGCTGAGCTGTCCTGCCTTTGGGCTGCTTACACCTTGAGGCTGAGATGCAGGCATGACACCCATATTGGCGCATCTTGCAAATGTGTGCGACAGGCTGGGCACCTGCATTGGACATTCGTTGCTTGCTGTCAAGTCCACAGCATTCAGTTTGTATTTTCCAGGTGGGCCATGCCACCAGTGATGCAGGAACTAAAAAGGAAGGCAAAACAGCAGCGCCTCTGGAATCTGTGGCTACCATCACACATGGCCTCTGAGATAAGGGACGTCGTAAGCCAGGGGCGCAGCAAGGATGAGGCTGACCTGCTGCTTGGCCCATGCCTCAGCAACCTCGAGTACTCCCACTTGAGCGAGATCATGGGTTCGTCGCAGTGGGCCCCAGAGGTGTTCAACTGCTCAGCACCTGATACTGGGAACATGGAGCTGTTGGCAAGGTAGGAAGTGACGATTCGCCTTCTGACGGCATCTGCTTTCATGGCATTCGCCTTTGGGGGGCAAACAGCAACGTGCCATTTGACGTGGGGAACTCTCCTGCTGCTAAACTGCAGCAGATGAAGGTGCAGGCCGTATGGGAGGGTTTCTGTCCAACTCCACGCTCGCGTTGGCGAGATAAACGAAAATCAAATGGTGTTCACCATCGTTGCACCAGTGGCCTCAGGCTGAGCTTTCTTGGACCTTGAAGTTCATACGCAACAGGTGTCCAGCCCAGTGGTGATAATGGGAATAACTCAGGGGGGCATGTCTCATAGGTTTCTTCAAGCAGTGCCTGACCGATGCTTGCCAGATGGCAACTAAGTGAGTCTTGCTATGTTGGATTGTCTTTAAAGTCTTGCCAGCTATGGTCAGATGAACCTTTAGTGCAACATTCCACGTGCACCACCCCCATACTCCACTGACACAAGCTGGCATCAATGTGTGGTTGGCCCAACGTAATGGTGTTTTGAGTGCTGATACACGAATTTGAAGAATTTATCAAATATCAGATAAGCATTAAATTGTGAAATGGCCATGTGCTGTGAGCAAACTGCACCGCACCACAAGGTGTCCCTATCTGTGGCATTGTTTCAGAAGTGGACGCAAGTAAGTGTAAACTAGCAACGCCAACAATCTTGCTGCGGCAATGAGTTTGTGGCATTGCTTCATTGGATGTATTGTGGAAGGCTTGCTCCACGGACACTGACTGGACACGGCGCATTTGACAAACAGGTTTGGATCTCCAGAGCAGCAGCGTAAATGGCTTATCCCTCTCCTCGACGGCTCTATTCGCTCATGCTTCGCCATGACTGAAAAAGCAGTTGCATCATCAGATGCCACAAACATCCAGGTGGGCTCGCCTTGCCTGCAGTGCATCTCCAGATCACCAATTCAATGGTAGCATTGACAATACTGTCAGCAACACAGTAAGTTTAGGAGCTTGTCATTGTCACCACCACTTATTACATAGTATGATTTGTATGGAAACGCTTTGACAACTTGGCAAATGCTCAATCGATGTCTCATTAGCGTTTCTCCAGTTGACCCTTGCACTTCTGTGTTTTGCCTATGTTTGGTGCTTCTGCTTCCCCCATATGTTTCTGATGTCTTGAAGCTGAATGGCCATTATAATGGCCAGTAATTATTGGGTAAATGCTGCCAAAAAGCCTTGTCAACCCTTGTCACCCTTGCTGCATGGAGTGCATGCATCGCCCTCCCTTTGCCTCTATTTGTTCGTCCAGCACTGCGAAATGGTAACATGAAATCTCAATCAAGGCTGTTGAGTTTAGCTCTGCCGCTTGGATTCGATGTTAAGAATGCAGACGCAAACACCTACAATACCAAAAGTGGTTGACCAGCGCACACTGCTTTATTCCATGTTTGCATAATGTTAAATATTGATTGCTCTATACCTGTTCATGAATCATTGATTGATTGCGCAAATATTGTGTTGAGCGACCCAAGATTGCGCAAGCTTAACGTTGCTTCGGGTGTGGTTCTTCACCACCAAGAGGCGGTGTGCGCAGCCGAAATGATCTCAAACTTTTGCTGCAAGCCGAATGAGGCCAGAATTCTCTCACCATGCCTTGTGGTGGCTTGTGCATTGCTTCGCACTGACAGCCTGCGTGGATCTGGGCAGTCCAGCATCGTTCGTGATGGCGATTGGTATGTGGTGTCTGGCCGCAAGTGGTGGATCAGTGGAGCCATGCATCCACTGTGCCGCATCTGCATCTTCATGGGGAAGACCAACTTGCAGGCAAGCACATACAGGCAACAGTCTATGGTCCTGGTGCCAATGGAGACACCAGGTGAGTTGGTACCTGTTGTCTTGTGCTGGTCTTTCCTTTCTACATTGTATTTGTGTACTCTATACATGCTCCTGACTACTGCTGTTTTGAGCCTCACTCTGCTGTTGGAATCCTACTCCTGGCCTATTTGTCGGTGCAGACCAAGAAAGGAATCAACCCGCCTTTCCTGATCATTTCGCGCCTGACTTACTGGATACTGTTACACACCAGGCAGGTTTGTTATTTGCGTTTGCGTTTTTGTACGCAAAGCGTGCATGTGCAAAAGGGGCTATTTTTGCGGCTGCGTTTACTTTTTTACGGCTCATTGTCACACCCGGCTACACGATCAAAGTTGCGCACAGTAACCAGTCTTCCGCCCCTTCAAAAATCCGCAACACCTCGTCCACCCCGCCCTCGGCAAGGAAAACGACGGCACAGAACAAAAGCTCGTTGTTTGTCCATTCCAGCGCGTCTGACTGGCACTCTCCGGACTCCCTGAGGCTGTGTGTACTGTCCTTTTGTGCACGGCGCTGCATTTACGTTGTATTTGCCTTTTTTACACGTAAAAATGTAAATTGTTTTGCGGTGTAAATAACGAGCCTGCACCCAGGTGTGTAACACGACCTTGGGCAGTGATTGCAGAGTGGCGTGTCAGTGCCGCACTTTGAAGTATTGCGCTGACATGCAGCGATCCATCAAGGATGGGAGTTTCTCATTGCACGTGCCGATGACCAAGTTGCCATTGTGCGAGGATCAACTCATGGCAACATCATGTATGTAGGTGCAATATTGCATGGATGTAACGCGTTTGATAATCTTGTGACCCAACACGTTGCCCTTGTCACCAGGTGTTAAAGTCTTGAGACCCATGCTGGTATTTGGTTGCGATGATGCGCATGTGGGGCATGCCGAAATTGATTTCAATGGCGTGAGGTGAGCTGCTGACTTGAGTCCACAGTGCGCACCAGCATATGTTCATCAGTGTGTAAGCGTGTGTCCTTGTTGAACGCAATCAGCAAGTACGGCATTTCATTGCCATTATCCACTGAACGATATTGGAGGATTCATGGCGCTTGTTTGGCTCGGACACGGTTGGAGGATTCAGAAAGGTTAAGGCATGGAATGCCGTTTAGATTATTCTGCAGCTGCACTGTGGGCATCGCATTGTCGCATTGCCTGATGAGTTCTAGTTTCAGTGCGCCTCCGTTGGCCGAACATCAGGAATGACACAACGTGTTTGTTGGCCAACATTGAGAATGCTAATCAAGCTCGTGTTCATGGCGGATATCACCGAACGCTCTCCATTTGATTGCCCTTCAGGTGCGCAACATGGGGTGCTGGCCATTGCCTTGCAGTTCTGAATCGCGTTCTGTCAGGCTTGTCACTTACGGCGCAAACACGGCCTATATCAACGAATTTACTCATTTGCGTACTACGAAAATTCGCCGGAAATGGCAGAGCGGTTATGCCAATTTTGACGAATATTCACCAAGCACCATGTCGCGCACCCCGAAATCAATGTACTGCAGCCAAGGATGCAGCAGCCTACGCCGCCAAAATCCAGTTCAATACACCGCAAGGCCTGCGCATCCGTGATGCACATCTCCACGGTGCGAATAGCATGGCAAGTGTGCGTCAGATTAAGGAACGTAGTCTGGTTTTGACGCGCAGTGAAGTAACACTCAGCGCAGCCCGCCAGTATGCAAACGCGCATTGAAACTGTGTAAAACGGCCATCGAATGCCGGCCATGAGAGGGGCTTCATTTGTGTTTCCAGGGTGCCGAAGGAGAACTTGATATGGGGGGAGGGCCGTGGCTTCGAGATGGCGCAGAGCCGCCTGGGCCCCGGGCGACTGCACCACTGTATGCGGCTCGTGGGTATGGCCGAGCGGGGCGTTGAGCTGATGGTGCAGCGCGCCAAGGGGCGGTCGGCGTTTGGGCAGCCGCTGGCGGAGAATGCGGCGGTGCAGGCTGTCATAGCCAAGGCCAGGGTGGATGTAGAGGCCGCACGGTGGGGCGCCATGTTAAGGCACCGGGTTTACGCAAATAGCAGCAAATAGATGCGGTGTTTGTAAATCGATCGGTAATTGGTAGCGATCAATGGAAATTGGAATTTGTCTCAGTTTTCATTGCAAATGTGTCGGACATGAACCCTGAATAATGGAACAAAACAGCTGAGAAGTGTTTGTCTGGCAATGTGCTGGGCGTCGATGATTTCCCAGTTCATCCAGCAGACTTCAGGTTTATGAAAACTCTAATGGGGATGTCCACTGCTATCTGCTGCAAGTGTGGAGTCCAAGCTGCTTTCGGCCCAATTTCAAATTGACATCGCCCTGATTTGGATGGGCGTCGTCCAACTGGTCAGTGAATTTACTTGGCGGAATTGTTTTCAGTTAAAACGCTTTGTACAAAGGTACAAGGGTACAAGGCCAAATTACCATTACTAGTGTTTGCAAGCACTTCTCCAGATCCTTGTTCATCAACTATTTCTGAAGTAAATACTGAAGCATCGAAAAATTACGAACATCTGAAAATGGCAATGATCGGTTTGCGGCTACCGTATTGCTGGAGCGTATCGAGAACCTGCGGCTATTTTGGAGGGGAAAGCCGTCGCTTGTTTCCGTTCCCCTGAGCTCCCGACATCTAATGACGCGTGAAAAGCCAATGACGCTCATCGTTCCGCACGTGCGACCTTCATTTTGCTCGCGCTCGTCCTAGGTTGATGGTGCTCTCTGCGGCGGACGCCCTGGACAAGGTTGGCATCAAGGGGGCGCGGCACAAGATCTCCGAGGCGAAGGTGATGGTGCCCCTAGCGGCGCAGCGCGTGCTGGACGCGGCCATGCAGCTGCACGGGGGCACAGGCGTGTCGGACGACACGCCACTGGCGCGGCTGTGGGTCCAGGCGCGCACCCTCCGGATAGCAGACGGCCCCGACGAGGTGCACTTGCTGAGCATCGCCAAGGCGGAGCTGCGGCGGCGGTCCAGGCTGTAAAAGTTGGGGAAGCCGCTCTGGAGCCACAAGGATCGTTTCGTGCGAACGGGGCAATATCCCAGTGCTTCAGCAGCGCGGACAGGAGCGCGCTTGTCCAAAACTGCGTTCGCAATGGAGAATTCTCGGAGGGGCGGGCTCCCGCGGGCTGCGTTCGGATCCTTTCGGTGGGCGCTGGGAACACAGTGTGTGACGCTTGCTGTATGGATGGGATGTATTCGGAATTGGTGCAATGAGGAGCTTCGAGCTGGGGCCAGCGTGGGACCGTGACAGAGAGAGGTGCTGACCTGCTGACGTGCAGCTGGGATGGTTGGTTTGTTTCATTTTTTGTTTTTTTTTTGACTGGCAAACTCCAGGCATGAACAATTCGCACACCGCATGCATTCGTGTTGAAAGGCGGAGTTCACCCCACCAGGCTTGCCAATCTACAACTGCACCCGTCCCTCCAAAGAATGTGCCAGGATTCGCCTGGAAGCCCCACAGACGATCGTCAATCCCAATCCCGAATTCCCAATGAAATGCCGACAATTCTTTGCAGCAAGCGCGCACAGCCGCGTCGAAGCTGGCGTTCATATGCTCCCTTGGCCAGCAAACGCCTTCAGGGCGCCTTTGGCAAGCCGCCTGGGCCTCTGGCTTGTGCCTTGGCTCCCCTTGCTCGCTCCAGCGCCCATCACCTTGTTCAAATCCCTCGCCAGTCGCTGCACGCATGCAACGGTTGGAGTTACAAATTCAGTCACAATGTGATAGTCATACGTGAATGGATGCTGCTAATTTGCTTGGTTGAAGCTGGCGAGCCGCCACCCGGACACCTGCAGGTGAAGATGTTAATTGCGCCATGGCAATGCTCGGCCTCATGTCTGCACAATGCTCGCAAATGACTCTCAGCTTGCGGTCAAGCGATGAGGGATGCATGGAGGACAGGAGCAGGGATGGCGATTGTGTTTTGCTGGACGCGGCACACTGCAGCAGGTGCTGTTGAACGGCGAACTACTCGCATTGGGCAGGAAGGAGATAATAATGTAGGCTGGGAGCCGGTGCGCAAGCGCCCCAGCCTAGTGGAGAAGAAAGACCCCCAATGTCCTTCACCCCATAATGCTTTCTTCAATATGGGCTGCATCGGAGGCAGCAACCGCCAGCTTGTCCAATATTGATTCAGAGCGTTTGGTTCTGCGATGTTCTCACCTCTGCATCCCCAGGCTGACCGGCACTTGAAGACTGCTCAAGTCTTGCCCGACCCCTCCGGACGGCACAGCCGCCTTTTCGCGCCCGTATGCGCCCCCCGCTCACAAGCGGAGTGGACCTGAATCCGGCGCCGGCGATGCAGACTTTGGCTCCAAGGGCCCCTGGGAGTGTGGCCGGAGGATGACTGTCTTGGAACTGGAGCAAAGGAATGAGAAATTCCGGGGATACAGCGCTGGACCCGTCGGACAGCGCCCCTGTGTGCAGCGCAAGTAGTCAACAAAATTGCGGGTCTCCATCAGTATCGGCCTGCAGCCGTACGCTCATTATACCCAATCCGTATCCGCACAGATGCGGGCCTGAATCTCGCTACTGTTTTGCATGATTTGAGTGGATCACCCATCATGTGCACCGATGCAGGTCCCAACCTGCGGCTGCCCAGCTGCGGCCCCGAGTTGGACGATCTAATTTACCGCAGCGTTGAATACTTGCTGGCGATGAGCCAACACTCTTTCGACAACTGCGTTGTTCTAAATGAGAATATGGGGATTCACACGGGAGCTTTTGTACATTTTGCGCCAATTCCGTCACCAGCAAAATGCATGGGCATGTTCGGGCACGTTTGGGCATGTTCTTCTGATAATCGTAAGTTCCAACGCAACAATTTAGCCCAGATTCTATCTCTCAGTAGTTCCTTTTTAATATTACTGGGAGTTTGTTCAAACTGTATAATTCAAAATGCTCTTATCCGTCCCTGCTTCACTTGGATACTTCCTCATCGCTGTCTATTATATGATTCATTGTCTGTACTTTAGAAACTTGTAGGACATTTCTGCGCTGCATGGATGAGAATTGAACCTTTTTTTGGCCAGCACGGAGCCATTCATTGTACTTGCAACATCGCTCAAAAAGCGCATGATCAGGAGAACGTGGAAGATCCAAGTACTATAAAGTAATGAACGTTGTCCTATTATTCGAAGAAAGTGTTTAAACAGTTTCCCGAAACGACCACTGTTTCATTCCGTACAACGTGCACGTGACACGGGTATGCGTAATGGACAAATGTTGATATGCTGCCACAAGATGGATGAATGCTGCAAACAGTGCAAGGCAGCCAATCACCCAGCCACCCCACCCCCTGGATAACTCACCTGCGGTGGTGGTGGCGGCGGACGTCAGCACTCTGGACCTGGTCGCAGGGCGGCTCGCCGTGCTGGCTGACCTGCTGTTCCGCCGGTCGGTCACGGATGTGAACGGCCTGTTCAAAAACTCCACCACTTCGTCCTCGTCCAGGTGCCACGCCGATCCCGGTCCCAGGCATCCGTACTCCGGCGCTGTCTGGGGTCGGTACTCGGCGGGCTCCGGCTTGACGACTTGGGTCGGTATGTGGACAACGGTGGAACTGGTTTCGGAGGGAGATGACGTGGATGGGCGCGCACCTGGCGCAGTGAAAGGGAAGGACGCGAGCATCATATCAGGCTCATATTATGGGGAATCGCAACTTGGCGCATCCGTACTCCTGACTATGTTTTCTGGAATGTTGTCAGGCATGTCCGGAGCAACAATGGCTTGCAGGGCAAGGTTGTTGTCGACAGAGGCCAATATTACTTGCGCAATTCTGAAAGAGAACAACGCCGCTCCGCCATTACTCACCCATTTCCATCGCCTCATGCGATTCCCATGCAACCTCAGTCGATCTCGCCGTCTCCGAAGATGCTCTCAGCGGCGGCCGGCCGGTATTGGACCTTCCCAACATGCCGCGATCCATGTGCTCCCTGCGGGTGCTGTTAGTTTGCAACGGTCGAAAGGAGCTGCCTGGCGCTGTCGGGGGTCGGCCAAGCCTCTGTTTGTATTGAAATCTTTGAATGGCGGCCTTCTGCTCGTGGACCACCGCCACCACCGCCTTCAGCTCTTTCTTGCAATCGTTGAGGCTGCCCAGAAGGCGACAGTTTTCTTCAACGAGCCGCCCCACCTCCCGAGAACGAATCTGGCATCACAGGGGAAGCAGGCGGCTAGTTTTCAAAGCAGCATCGCACCGCCTCAGCATCATGCAGTTGCCGCTCTGCGTTGCGTGCCCCAATCCAAGCGCGTGCGCAAACAAAACAAAAATCAGGATCTAGCAACGAAGTTCCATTGCAGGAGGCAGTTGTGATGGATCAGTCCTGCAATCTGTCCACCACACACAGCTGCGCATCTATCTATCGCTATGCAGCAGTTTTGGATGGCGGGAACACAGCCCGAATATGTGAAATACCTTCCGATTCTGCTGCAAAGAACCTGCTAAAAGTATCACTTCTATCAGTACCATTTCCAGTCCCATGCATCCAAATTGACGCATGGAACAACGACTGTCAGGGAAGGCTGCTCACTACTGGTTGGCCAAAAGAATTGCCACCACTCTAATGGCCACATGCGAGCAAAATCCTATTAGAAACTGCCTCATGGCATCATGTGACAGACATTTCCAGCTGCATCTAGAAATGTATGTACATTTTCCTGGTGAGAATCTCTGCCCCTGGCTGAGGCTGTTGCAGTACTTTGGCAAAGGTATCAAAAAAGATTGCTATCAGTCATTTTGAACTATGATTTATCAACGCGCATGTCAGCTTCCCGACTTGATCTTGGCGAGTATTTCGATGTCATCTACTTCTTCCGTCCCAAATTAAATTGCAGTTATGATATGTGGACCTGGAAACCGCCTGAAACATCTTAGAATTTCACCAAAATTCGCCACAATCTATAAATTTTAGTCCAGTTTGAGATATCATATTTGTGATCTAATCGGCTTAGTACTCACTCTGCAATAACATTTTGTACAGACTTGGCTTTTCCGGAGATACCCTAGCTTTGCAAGGTGGCCCAGAAACCGCCTACTTTCAGGCCCTGGACTATGACCACCTTGTGTTGGCGCCCATTGCGCGAAGTGGCAAGAATTGGGGACGCGCTTTAGCCTGCAGGTCGGGGGGAGATATAGAGCGAGAGGGCAGACCGCCATCGTGTTTGGAAGTGCGTGATCGAAGATCTCGCCCGTAGATTCGAGACATCATGGCGTGCAGTTGATACCAACGATAAGTCGTTTAGGAATGCAATCAACGATCCCGCGGGAATGAATTCGTTCCATGCGCGGCAAGGGAACTTCGGGCGTCCCAGTACACGAAGGTAGCAGTTTTCAACGGGAGTTGAAGAAATTGCACAGCACAACTGGCGCACAGCGGGTGAAATGGCGATGGAGGCAAAAGACGGGCGAGATCCTCGATCCTGCCTTTTGGGATGCGTTCGCGGCTTGCCCTCTGCTTCTGTACCTCTTCTCCAACCCGCAATCTGAAACGCGTCCCTAGGATGCGTCACTTCGCGCGGTGGGGGACACTGCAAAGTGGAATGGTCCACGGCACGATAATGGGCTGTTTCGGAGCCACCTTGAAACGCGTTGGCTGAACTTCGTATGTTCAAGAGGATGTTGCGGACTGAATACTTAGCCCATTGACTCAAAACGTTGCGAGCATGAACTGGACTAAATTTAAAATGCATGTTCAGTTTTTGTGAAAATATGAGATGTCCTGGTAGGTTTCCTATGCCCACGGTTCGTAACTGCACTTTAATATAGGAATAATGAAATACTTTGCTTGAATCATATTCTGTACCATCCAGCGATTTTGCTCTTCCAACTTTTATGCATCAACAAGAAGCTGTTCTGAGGGGTCTGTATGCAGTTGAACTCTTCATTAGTCTGATGAAAAACTAGCTCCAATATGACCATTTGCCGCAGTTCATTTGCATGGCCGGAGATGCGGGCCTTTTTGTCTGTGCACCGCCACCTTTTCTGT